AGGACTGGGATGTAGCTCAGTGGCAAAGCACCTGTGGTTCAATCCCCAGTACCAAAAAAACAAAACACACACACACAACTAAACAAAACTGTCTGGAGCTGCTCTGGAAATACATGCCCTTAAGCAAGAGAACAATTATTGCACCCTGCAAATTTATCTCTGCTTGGATAATGAGGCATGGCTCCAGGAGTAGGCATTACTTGATGCAGTTGAATTACACTCACCTGTCCCTTTATAATCCTCCCCCTTTGCCCTTTTTGGGATAGAATGTACCATGGAACCTGCCCTTGTGTGTCCCCTATATAAGAATAAAGAATTCCAGTGGCTTTCCCTCTTTTTATATGGGCCCCTAAGGTCGGAAAGCGGTCCCAGATTTTGAAAAGGCACTTCTCTGTGTTGATGTTTTTTTCGCCATTTTCTTAAATTAATGGAATAGTCAGATTTGTGAACCTAGCATAGGTCGCCAGCTAGGAAAGATGGTGATAAATGGAGTCGCCGCTGGGATGTTTTAAGGTAGCTGATAAAATGTATATGGCTAAAGTGTAGCCCTCTCTCATAAGCATGCTTTTTATGACTTATTGTGAAACTAATGTGGGGTTTTTTGTGTTTTGAAATATTTTAGATAAGAATTTTTGAATTTATGTGCTGTAAATTAATGTTTAGAGAATGAAGAGAGGAGAGATTGTTTTATTTGTGGGATGTAAAATTCCAGAACTTTTCTGCTTCTAAAAAAGTAAAGTATTTTTCAAATTTTTATTTGATTCTTACTTTCTAGAATTATTCAGCCAACTTGAATTGGGCAAATAAATCTGCTGAGCCTCTCACTACATCCCTACCAAAATTTAAAATCGAGTGAGCTATAACTCATCTGCTGTCACACAGATGCAGGGCTCCAACCTGCCACTGGCAATACTTTTAACCTTTAGATAACCTGGCCTGGGTACCAAACGCCTGCCCGCTCGCACCTGCATCTGCCACTGGAACCCGCTGTTGAGTTGGGGAAATTTTGGGGTGCCCACATGCTGCGAAGGGAGAGTGCAAAAGACGGAAGCGCAACTGCTCTGCAAGCGGGCTAACCTCTGAGGACAGGTCACATAGATAAGGCAGGGTCCCATCCATGGGGTCCTACTCAGGTTGGGCAATACAGTGACTCCAGGGGAGGTTAAAACTCTTGGGGACGCTAACCCGCCCATGGCGCCCGCCCAAAAGGACTGAAGCGCAGCTGCGGCTTCCTGAGTCCGCATGGTCCCGGAAGTAGCAGAGTCGGGGGAGCAACGGGGTACTGTGGTGACCTGCGGGCACAGAGTGTCTCTGGAGGCTTATTTTCAGGGCCTGCCATTCAGGCCCTTTTTCATGGGCACAGGCCCCATCCCAGCGGGAAGGACCCAGCGCACAGTGGCAACCTGGCTTCCCCATCCCAACTTACGCCAGCTGGCCCCTCAGCCAGGGGATCACAGGGCCATTACTCAAACCTCTGTGACGCCAGGGGAATGGCGAAACGCCCATGTGATGCAGTCGCAGAGGGACTGGAGGCAGGGGAAGGCAGTCAAATTGAACTGAGTCAAACCCACTGGGGAAGCTCCCGGGGCTGGCGGGACCCTGCCTTGGGCAACAAGCCCTGCCCCTGCGGGGCAAACTCAGATGTAAAGTACATTGCAATGGATCCAAATATTTTAAGAACCATGTGGTTTCATAAGCTTTACATAATTATAAGCTATATCTTTATTCTTAATGCATATTTTTCCAGGTAGTTGGATAATCTATAGTCCTTAATTTATAGAATAATTAACACATGTGTCTATTTGTTTAATTAATATGTATCTATTTGCTTCTGACTGCCTTCCCGCAACAGGAAGCATGTAATTTATACCTTTATACATGCATTTATCTGGTGCTCTGCTTTTTATAGTTAAAAATATTTAAGATAGGGGCTGGGATTGTGGCTCAGAAGTAGAGCGCTCAACTAACACGTGCAAGGCCCTGGGTTCAATTTTCAGCACCACATAAAAAAATAAAATAAAGATATGTGTCAACCTATAGGTAAAAAATTAAAAAAATATAAAAATATTTAAGATAAATGTATTTTACTATAAAAATTTTCTTTCAAGAGATAATACAACCATCAAGTAATCTCTAATTCTCAAATTATTGTACAAACTTTTATAAGATGATAAACAGATATGATTCTGTCAACAAATGTCTAAAGGCTTTAACTACATTTTCATTGAGATATTTCTTTTTATCAAGGTGCAATAATTTGTTTAGATTCTCAGATTTAAAGAAATTGTTCCAAAGTATAATCAAAAGAAATAATTCTAAAAAAGGAAAAGAAGATACTTCTTCAGAGAGGAAATATACATTGGAGGTCCTAAGGAGAAGAAAGAAATCATCTTTGGGTAAAAGAAAAGGTCTTTATATTCTAAATTATAATGATGAAAGGATTTTTATAAATAGGGAAATCTTTATATACTTATCTAGACAGATGACATAAAAAGTTCAAACAATTGAAAAATAGATTTATGTATAACTGGACTGACTATAAATATTTGGACTGATCAGTTCTAGGATATGTCAGGCTATTTCCCTGATTTTATTATGCTGATGTAAGCTTTCTGTCCACGTTCTGACATGACAGAGCTTATTAAAATATTAAGCTTATACCTAATAATTCTTGATGTTTGAACAAGGACCAATTTTTAATGAATCAAATTCGTACATCATTTATCAAAACATAAAAATTTTAAAACGCTTACTTAAATTCCAATTTTGACACTTCTCCTTGGAGACTAAATTTGATTGATTCAAAGACATCAGTAATGATTACTGCTGCTTCTTGCATATTTCTTCCGTT